TTTTCGCTCGACGCCCCATCCACGTAAAGCTTCCATCTTGCAATCTCGGTTTCTTCAGATGGGGTGTAGGTTGGCCTATGAGAGAATTCAGCCAGAAAGTCGGCGAGCGCTTGACCTTTAATAGCGATTCTCGGCATGTATTTTATATCAAACTGGCTCAGTTCTACCGACCATTTGAGGAGCCGTCCGGATGTTTCCGGCTTTTGTAAGACCTGTCTTAACGGGTGGTTTGTGAGAACCCGTATCGTGTGGGATTGGAAGTAATGCCGAAGCTTTCTCGAAGCTATCATTAAGGCGAGGGCTAAACGTTCCATTTCGCTATATCTCGACTCGGCGTCGAGGAGTCTTTTACTCACATAGTAGATCGGCAATTGTACCTTGCCTTCTTCCTTTATTAGTACGGAGCTTACGGCGTGTTGGGACACGGAGAGGTATAGGCTGAGCTCTTCGTCATCGTTTGGTTTTGACAAAATTGGGGGTTTGTCCAAATGCTCCTTCAGTTTTTGGAAGGCCTCATCGCACTGTGGCGTCCATTCGAAGTGTTTGTTTCCTCTCAAAGCGTCGAAGAAGGGGACACACTTGTCAGTGGCTTTTGATATGAATCTATTTAAGGCGGCGACACAACCTGTCAATTTTTGCACTTCTTTTGGTTTTGTTGGTGATCGCATATCTTGCAGAGCTTTGATCTTCTCAGGGTTGGCCTCAATTCCGCGATTACTGACCATAAATCCGAGAAACTTTCCCGACCCGACTCCGAAGGCGCATTTCTGGGGATTAAGTTTCATGCGGTATTTTCTCAATATGCCGAACATTTCTCCCAAATGATTGACGTGATGGCTGGCTCTGGCGCTTTTTACGAGCATATCGTCGACGTAGACCTCCATCGTTTTACCGATCTGTTGAGCGAACATTTTATTCACTAGTCTTTGGTAAGTAGCCCCTGCATTCTTTAGGCCGAAAGGCATTACTTTGTAGCAGTAGAGGCCCCTGTCGGTTATGAAATACGTGTGCTCTTCGTCGGCTGGATGCATGGGGATTTGATTGTATCTGGAGTAAGCGTCCATGAAGCTTAGCATTTCGTGCCCCGTCGTGGCGTCGACCATTTGATCTACTCGAGGGAGTGGGAAGCCGTCCTTTGGGCAAGCTTTGTTGAGGTCGCTGAAGTCGACGCATGTTCTCCAGTTCCCGTTGGGTTTGATTACCAAGACAGGATTAGATACCCAACGCGGATAATGCACCTCCCGGATAAATCCATTGTTGACTAACTTATCGACCTCTTCCTTCAGCGCTTCGTACCTCTCAGGGTTCATTGGTCGTCATTTTTGGCGTTTGGGAGGATACGTTGGGTCGACGTTTAGGGAATGACTCATTATTTTGGGGTCGATCCCCTCCATGTCGGAGTGGCTCCAGGCGAAGACATCTAGGTTCTGCCTGAGGAAATTTTCAATCCTGCTTTTGAGTGGTGGGGTCAAGTCCGAACCTATTTTTAGTATTTTGATGGTTCCGCTTTCGTTAATCTGGATCTCTTTCAACTGTTCGATGGGCTGAGACCAAGTAATTTCCTCTTAGACCCGGGGGTCTATATCCTCAACGAGGCCTTGCCGAACCATCCTTGTTTCCTGTCTTCCTGGCTGGTCATATCCGCGTAAGGCATCGGAGTATGCGACCCTGGCTTCATACTGGTTGCTCTTAACTTCTCCTACGCCGTTTGGGGTGGGGAATTTGACTTTTTGGTGGTAGACGGAGGTTATTGCCTTTAATGCCTGGAGAGTTGGTCTCCCGATTACTGCGTTGTATTGGGAGCCCCCTTTGACGACCACAAAGTTGGCCATCGTTGTTGCCTGTCGGGGTTTCTCTCCGGCTGTTATAGGTAGTCGGATAGTGCCTTGAGGAATGACGGAGTCTCCCGTGAACCCGTACAGCGGCCTGGTGGTTCTTTCCAACTGCCCCTCGTGAATCCCCATTTTCTCCAAGCAGTCGGAATACATGAGGTCCACCGAACTTCCATTGTCCACCAAGATTCGACATACAGTGTGGTTTCCAACTGCCCCTCGTTAGTGCGGCTTTGCCTCGGGACTTTTGCGGCGGAGACGTTCCAGAACCTTTCCTGGTATACCCCCTTAGCCTCGTGGGCGTAGTCCTTCTGTGACCTCCGCGTGTCTCCTCCTATGTAGGGGCCACCGAGGATTGTTCTTATGACGCCGACTGGTTCCTGATCTTCCGGGCGGTGGTTTTCCTCTCGGCGTCGACCGTCTTTTTGCCCGCCATGGCCGTTGTTGCGGGGTCTTCGTTCGGCCCTGAATTCCTGCAGCCTTCCCTCGCGGATTATCCTTTCGATTTCATCTTTGAGGTCAGCGCAATCATTTGTGTGGTGGCCGACCTCGCCATGGAACCTACAGAATTTCTTCTGGTTCCTTTGGTTAGGATCCAACTTCATTGGTCCAGGTCGGCGCAGCAAGTTTCCTCGGCCGACCTGGTTGAAGATTTCCTCGACGCTTACTGTCAGTTCATGGTAGGTGTCGTATTTCTGAAACGGTCGAGGCCTGCGGGTATCCTCCTGTCTTCGCTTCTTGGCCTCCGGCGTTCCTTGCGTCGGGATCGGTTGTTTTTCTCCACTTCCTCCTCCTCGACGCTTCTTCCCGTCTTGCTTTGATGATGCCGACCCCTGCTCGGCTCCTTTACCTTTATTGGACCTATGATCGGGGTCGTTGGCATCCGCTTCTTCAGCATTGATGTATCCTTGCGCCCTTGTAAGGAACTCTTTGTAGCTGGAAGGGGGTCTTCGGTTTAGTTCCATTTTGAAGGGAGTTATCTTCTTCATACTGGATAATGCTCCCATCAGGGCTTCCCTGTCCGTGATATCCACTGTAGCGGCGACGGCCTCGCCGTATCTGGCGAGCCACTCCCTTAACGTCTCATTTGGCTTTTGATATATCGTCGTTAGGTTCTGCTTTGGGGGTATGTACTTTTTAACCCCGATGAACTGGAGGGAAAATGCTTCCTTCAGTTCATCCCAGCTGGAGATAGAGTTTGGCTTCAGCGTTCGGAACCATCTTCAGGCAGAGCCTGTCAGGTGGTTCCGAAAGGCTCGATACATGATCTCCTCGGCGTACCCGTGCAAGAGCATGTGCCCCGTGTACATTTCCAAATGGTCGTCGAGATCTCCTTGTCCATCGTAAGGCGGAATCGACGGCGACCTGTATTTATCGGGGAGAAGGGGTGCCATTATCCCCGCGGTGAATGGATGGTCATGCGTGCGACCGGGCATTATGTCGACGTTCATCACCTCGGCCACCCGCCCGATGTTCTTTCTCAGCCCTGCGACGTCCCCGGTTAGCCTTCTTTCCAGGTCGGCCATGCGTTCCATGAGGGTCCGCGCCTCTTCTGTTGATACAACTGAACCAGCAGCTCCCGGCGCTTCCGCCCTTTGGGCGAGGGGCCCACCTCTGGCCTGACTGCCCACCTGCACCGACCCCGAGTCTCCTGGCCGGTTTCCTCCGGGATTTTGGGGCAGTTCCTCAATGGCTCGGATCCCAGCGACTCTCAACCGGCTGCCGGAGGAATGGGAGGGTCGAGGCCTAGGAGGGCCCTAATGGTCCTCGCTTTCCCCGGTCCCTTCTTGGATGTGCGGGCGGTTACCGTGATTCGGGTTTTCCATCATGGCAGGTCCCTGTGGTATTGGGGCATCCTCTAGTGGCGGCATGGAGTTCCTTCCGTCTAATCGTTCAACCACGGTTACTAGCCCTTGTACCAACTCGGTCAAAGTGGCTATTTGGGCTTGCATCTGCATCGGGTCCGGCCGTGGTATGTCGGGAGGTTGGGCTTCATTTCCGCCTGGGCGTAAATCTCCTTCTATCCCGCTATTCTTTGGGTGGGCGGATGTTTGTAGCTATACTTTTGGGGGTCGAACGCTTTCAGTCCCCAGCGGAGTCGCCAATTGTTGACGGTTGGATTTCGTCAACAATAAACCCGCCGGAATACCTTGGGGTTCCCCTTTGGATTACCGGCTTATGGGTTTTACGAAGGTGTGGATTCAGGTTGAATTTAAGTATTTTTGTGTTTGAATGCCCTGTATGCAAATGAACAAGAAGAATTTTATAGTGGTTCACTCTACGAAATTAGAGTTACATCCACTGTATATACTATATTGCTTTTTGTGGAAATCTGAGTTTACACTGAATATCATCTCTCTTTCTTTTTTCTTTTGAAGTTTTCGGACCCCTTTCCTATTGGGGTCCTTCTTCTTTTATATTTGGGCTTCCTTCACTGGGTGGGTTTCCTTCGTAGGTAGGAACACTCAAGTGTTCTCCCTCTCTAGGCCCAGACATAGCCCACTAATTAGTACTGTTCACTCAACCAATTAGTCTTCTATTACGGCTCTGTAACTCTCCGTAATGCTTTTATGTCCCCTGGGGGAGGCGGTTTGTAAACTTGCAATTAATGCTGTCAGACTTCTCTTACCTCTGCATGTAACCTATCACGTCGGAAAGGGACGTTCCCCTCGTCGTCAGTGGTTGTTTAAACCTTTCTCGCCCCCTTTAGTGATCTCTTCTGCAGTCGAGGGATCTTGTCGTGTCGACCCAGGCGAAATCAACCGTCGACGCCTAACGGGGTCGTCGCCCTAATTATGGACTTCATCTTCGGGTTCGATAGCTGATCTTGAGGGAAACGAAGCGTCAAGGGTTGGACGCTCGGCGGAAAGTAAATATAGCCACGTGTCGTGGCACCGTTTGTCCAGGTGTCCATCACATTTTCCCACACAACAGACATGTTCCGTGTTTCAGAAATCGTTTGATCAACCGGATGTGTACCATCAATTGACCAGTCACAAGTAGATACCAGCATTTACATAATTATTTGATTCGAAAATCTTTTATAGAGCCTTAGTTTTAATTTAAATAATTCAATATAAAAATTACCTGATCAGAATAATCACGTATAGACATTCCCATATTAAATAAAATAAAGAATATTAACTCAATTAACTTATTTTGAATTAATTGATTAATAAATTATTTAGAATTAATTCCATATGAATTGTAATCAGTCGCAAAAATAATTTAAGTTGCCAATATATAAAAAATACACGATATCATATAAAGAAAGTATATGAGTTAGCAAACGTACCCAATAGACATATATAAATTAAGCTCTTATAATCACGACAGACTTTATTGACTGACAAGTTTATCTTATGATTATAAACTCTAAAGTTATGCTACTAAAAGTATAGAGTTACACTCACGATTTATATTATATATTTACAAAGCTCTAACTAGCTATCGTAACAGAGTGTGTGAGTAGATTGCCAATCCATTGAGAATTGTGGTAATTTAGATTAAATACCGAAATGATTAATTATATGAATTATTTGAACTACTGATAAAAAAAGAATAATTAAAGAAAATAAATTAAAATAAGTAAGCAATAAAAAATTACATTCTATGAAACCGATTCACGGAATTAATCCTAAATGAACTAATTAATCCTAAATGAAAATGTCAATACATCAACTAAGGCTAAGCAAAGAACCAAAATTTGGAATAAGCTATAATTTATGTCAAATTTAACACAACATTTAGCGTTCGTCAAATATGATATGGTTTTTCTGTACGAATGTCAAATTTTATATTGCATTAGACATATTCTAATAAATGCTAGACGGAAATAAGGGTGAGCATGAAACCCGGTACTCCATTCAAACCATGTTCATCAAAACGGGGCCAAGTCATCACTTACTATAATTCCTTTAGATAGTATGATGAAAACTATTCCTTCAAAAATCAGAAAAAAAAAAATATGAAAACTAACCAAAGGGAGTGGTTTTTATTATTATTATTATTATTATTTTACTAGTGTCTGAAGCCGCCGACCCGCTTTTTTCAGTTCTAATTTTCTTTTAAATATTTTTGAGAATTTGAGTTGAGTTTTATTATAAATTCTCCCTCTCACACACTATCTTTTATGTCATATGAATTATGGATGTGGTATAATTCTATATAAATAATAAAGTAAGTGGTCCATTTTTTTTTTTCCTTTTATGGTAGAAAACCTCCTAAATATTAGCTGCCATCGGAGAAAAACTAGAGATCTAAGTCTAACTCTTTTAGATACACTGATTCATATATACATATTTATATTTATGCATATGTATGTATACACGATAAGCACAAATATAAAACACGCATAGCAAAAGTCATGTGTAAGATAAATATTCAATTTATTTGCAAATCTAACATAAACCAATATAACATTTATATAAATATATATATATATATATATTTATATATGTGTGTGTGTTTATCAGAAA